GCGGAACGAATTAAGTTCGTGACCTGAGGTACCACTGTATTAGGTGGGATCCTATTGGCAGAAATCCTTAATTCAAAGGGAACATAAGAGGGTTATGAATTTTTTAAAGATAAGATAGTGAAAGTACATTTACACCATTCCAATGAAAAAGAAAGCAGGGAACAGCTTAGGAAACCATTAAAGGTGTATAGGGATGTTTTTGATCAAGCCAGGAGTGATACGTGATACGTGAGATGTGACATGAGAGAGAGAGAGAGAGAGAGAGAGAGAGAGAGAGAGAGAGATGGAATATAGATGTAACTAGACAACCCATGACCTGTTGGGTCATTGTTTCAGAGAGATTTCCTTACCTAAACAGAGAAACAGAATGACCAAGGGCAAAAAGCAGTGGGAGTGACTTACGACTTGCTGCTGGCTTCCCCATTGGTTTTGGTGGTGGGAAGCTGGTAGGGAGCATCCGAAATCTTCCTCCCTTCCCCCTTCCTCACCACATATACTATTGGCTTGCACAGTTTGCCCTCCCCTCATGACCCTCAGGAGAGCCCCAGTGAAGCCTCCTGCTCCTCCTCCTCCTCCTCCTCCTCCCCGCCCGACCCACAGAAATGCCTGCCACTTTGCTGGGGGGGAGATGGAACAAAGGGAGCCACAGACTATGAGGAAAACTGCACCCCCACTGCTCATTGTGGTGTGTCCCCAAAAGCCCCCTCCCTTGAGGGAGGAAGAGGGCTCACCCGTCAAGCAACAGCGCCCCCACAGCCAACCCTTCCTTGCCAGCAAGCATCCAAGTTGCTCCCACATTCTTCCCTCAACATCCACTGCCGTTAAGAGATTTCAAATTTCTGCCTTGTTTCCAAAGCAGCCAATCGCCGCTCACCTGTAGGGCCTTGCCACCAGCCAATTGGGCACAGGGGAAGAGGGAGGTGGGAAAGAGGTTGGGAATATGCCCATGATGATCATGTGACCTGCACTGACCAAGGTGGTGCAGCATGCTGAAGTGGCCACAAATTTCCCAAATTTCAATCACACGGGGGTCACGGATCCTGGATTTTGGACACATTCTGTAACTTAGCTCATTTGAGGTACCTTGGTTCAAAAACTGTTGCCTAATGACATACTGTTTTGGCCAGTTGAAGGTTACAGACCAAAGAGTTTTAGTAGTATATAGATCACCAAGAAGGTATATCAGCAACTGGGTAATATCTGCAGAAAAAAAGTTTAAAAGGTTAAAGTGCAAAAGGAACTTTGGCTCACAAGGGAAGCTAAAGGCAACAAAAGTACTTTTTTGACTATATTGATAGTAGGCGGAAGAAAGAGGAACGGGTGGGCCCACTGCTAGGAGAAGAGTCCTGTTGTGCTGCCTCATCATGGTGGGGTGGGGAATGTTCCTGGCAGTTCCTTTGAGAAACCATGGAGGACAGGTGTACTGCCAGAGTGTTTGATTTTAGCAAAGTATAAAGTCTCCCATGAGATTCTAGTAAAGAAGATGGTAAAGTGTGGGATAGACTATGGGATGGACTGTGCTACCATTGGATGGTTATAGAGCTGACTCAACAATAGTATCCAGCAAGTATATGTCATCATTGCAGGGTCACCACTACTGGTCCTTGGCCAATAATAGTTTATGGAAATTTCTTCATTCGTCACATCTCCATAAAATATTGTGATATTGTCCTCTGATTTCTGGTTAGTGGCATTAGTGGGAACTTCTGGTCCTGGTACAACATTATCCTCTAAAAGAAGAAAAAGAAGAAGTGTATGTCAATGGCTTCATATCAAGTTGAAAAGAAGTGTCATAATGTACCACAGGGTTATGTTCTGTGTTGTTCAGCATTCCTTGGGTAATAACTTGGGTGAAGGTTAGAAAATGCAATTATCAAATTTGCAGGTGGCACAAAGTCATGGAGAACAGCAAAGACCTTAGAGGACGGTGTTGAGATTCAGGAGGATCTTGACAAGCTGGAACAATGGCCAGAAACTAGTCAGATGAATTTCAACTGGGACAAATACAAAATCCCACATTTTGGTAAGGAAAATCAATCGCATGAATATAGGACTAAGGCATCGTTCTAGACAGCAGTGTATAGTATGTGAAAAATATCTAGGTGCCTTTGTGCATCACAAGCTGAACATGAACCAAAGGTGTGATATCACTGCTGAAAAAACAAATGCAAGCTTTAAGAAATAATTGTCCTGCTCTATTTTGGGGTTGGTCAGATACACCCTGAATATTGTGTTCAATTCTGGGACTATGTTTTAGGAAGGTCTTTACAAATTAAGGCATATCCAGAGGACAGCAACCAAGAAGATGGGGCCTGGAATGAAAAATGTATGAGGAACCTAACTATACATATGTTTAGCCTGGAGAAGAGATGACTGCGAGAGGCAATATAGCTGTCCCAAGTATTTGAAAGACTGTCATAGAGAAGACAGAACAAAATTTCTCCAGAAGACAGGTCAAAAAACAATGGATAGAAAGGAAGTAGGTTTGGTTGAACATCAGGAAAAAATTCCTAACAGTAAGAGCTGTTCAACAATAAAACAGACTGTCTTGGAGCTGTTGGCCTCACCTTTGCTGGATGAACCAAGCTGGATGACCCATCTATCAAGGATGCTGTAACTGTGTATTCCTGCACTGGGCAGAGGATTGGACTAAATGTTCTCCAAGGTCTCCTCCAACTCTTACATTCTATGATTCTAAGTTCCCCATCTCCTTTGGTCTTTTGTAATCTCCAAGCGATACTCTGTCCTTGTTTGACTTCCTTTTCCTTTAACTTTATTTGCCACTGGGCTACTGTATAACCCCTGCTCTGGTAGGAGAGCACTTGGAGAAGCATTTCAGACAACAAAAATAATAATCTAGTGTTTCCCTTTTTGCCATTTCTGTCGCTGGGGCTGCTTCTCCTTCCATGCTTCATTCCTCTTTCTTTTCCCTTTCATTGATATGGAACTAATGCATTCTGTACTGGAGAATTGACATCCTCTAGTATTTTTCTCAAAACTCTGGGTTGGCACTGCTTATATCTTAGTCTCCCCCATGCTGAAATCTTGGCTCATTTCCCAATCTGTAAATCTACTGTTGGGACCTCAGCATGATGTAGGTACTCTGTGGCCCTCCCTTCATGCCTGATCTTGCTCTCTGTCCTCAATGATACCTGCAGTCAGCTGGGATCTCAGAGCAGTGTGGTCTTGCCCACTCACCTGCCTGTATATATACTGTACCATTATGAGGTCATTATGAGGTCACAATACCTGAATCTGTATGTGGGCTGCAAGCACATACTCTAGCAAGATATCTTTCAGATTCAAAGGTCTGGATAGGACTGAAATAAAAAAGCGTTGGGTATTAATGGTTTTCTAGTTGAAGGTCTCAATTATTAGATAGTTCGTAAAATATCTCTTCAGGTAATGAATAGACTTTTTTCACTCGTACAGAACATAAATAGGGTTCTTTCACACACCCATCATCCATGAAAATTGTAGTAAAATGATCATTTTTGCTGGTAATCCTTTTATGTCTTCCTGCTAGAAATTACTGGAAGCCCATGAGGAACAAAATTGTGAAGCATACACTGAAGCAGTAAGTAGACCTCTGTTTTAATTAAACATTTGAACTGAGTTTCAGCTTAGAAAAAAAAAGTCAAATTTTTGTTTCATTAGCAATTTCAAAGCACAGCTGGGCAACTGGTGCATTCAAGCAAGAGAGGCATCAATTACAGTCCAGTCTGATGCATGTCTAGTCGGAATTCAGTGGGGCTCAATCATAGTTCAATGAGTATTGGATGTACCTCAATTAGCTAATTTTAGTTTCCACTGAAGGCAATGGGCCTTGAAATCACAACTAACTTGTTTCACTGATTTCAGTGGAATTCATTTAATTTGAATTGAACTCATCTGACTTATAGAACTTGAAGTGAGAAATTTATATGCAATATTTTGATGATGCTATTATCACATTCTGCCTTGGTATTTCAATTTTCATAATAAATTAAATAAATAGTGTCAGTGCCTAGAGCAGGGCCAGGCATGATGAGGGAGCCCTTTCGAATATCTTCCATATATTTCATGGAAGATTCATTGTGTCAAAATTCTCCCCTACCTTTTCTCAGCAATGCATAGGCTCTGGCTATGAGGGTCATCTGATTAATGTCTGGGCTATGGAGGATGTAATGGGGAGAAGAAATTGTATTAGGGATTGTGTGAATGATTGGCAAGAATCAGAAGTATAATTCACTTACAATCTCTGAGGGAAGCCGCCTTGTAAGTAAGCATGTTATTAGTCTGCAATGATATTTGTCAGCCTGCTGGTGGCTGGGAGGAGAAAGCTGGAAAACTCTGTTCTTCCTGAAATAGCCCATTGCTCTCCTTTGGTGCTTTCTGTTCTAGGTGGCCATAAGAACAGGCATAATGCACTCTCTCCTCTCATACAGGGAATTCTGGAACCAAGGGAGAGGTTAAAAGGATTGTTGACAAACGTGGCTCACTTGCGGTTTTTTTCACCCCGGATTCTTAAAGCCACTCAAATGGGTGGCTTGTTGTGTGGAATGGTTTTGCAATATGAACAGTTGTTCTTTCCTGCTTGCCTCTAATTTTGGGTAATGGAATGAAGATGGTATAGTTTTAGCTTTCCTCTTGGACAAAATTCTTAAAATCATGAAAAAGAAAATGTGAATTCTGTGCTTATACTACATCTCCTGATCATTTACGTTACACCCTCTAACTAGGTTAAAGAATTTGATTCAATATCCCGCTTGGATCAATGGCTTACAACCATGTTGCTCCGCATTAAAAAGTCCATTCAAGGAGACAGCGATGGGGACCTAAAGTGAACTGGCTGTGCAGCGTGTGGCATTGTGACTTGTCTGTTGAAATATCCTGTGTCATGGCCAAGGATCATTATGGAATACATGATCAATGCTTTTTGCTTAATTGACTGGTGTCTCGTTTAATATCCTGTTGTGGCTCATTCAGTGTAACTGTGAACATGAATTTATATTGTTTTTCATTTCTCAAGGGAGAGCTTATGGACTGACCCTATGCATGTTTACTCAGAGGGGCAAGTCCCGCTAAGTTCATGGATCTTCCTCCCACATAACTGAGCATAGGACTGTGTACATTAACTCTGAAGTAAGTCCTCATGCAGCCATATTAAAACCCAGTCAGCTGATATGAAATGATACCCTCATGATATGGTTCTCCACATCTCCTGTCCTATAAATAGGGTTTTTCAACTTTATTTATTATAGGATCATCATAAAGGACACCACTTATTGTATATTTTAAAATATTAACCAATATTATGTTGTTTACATGTGATTTGCATTACCACAGATGCAACACAATGAGTCACAACACTGAATAGCACTGAGATGGTAACCAAAATCCAAAGTTATCTTTACAATGCAATTCCAGGCATGTTTCAGTGGAACTAGATTGTGTGAAGTTTCAGTGAAGTTTCACAATTAGGAATAAGCCCCAAAAGGTGGCCTCAAGGGACCCATTTGTGGCCCCTCTTGCACGCTCCTGCTGATGCCTTCCCTGGTGGCAACAGAGCTGTTAGTCACCTAACTCCTGCCCTCCTGGACATTTCCTGGCCATCAGAATCACTGTCACTGAGGAATGACACAAAACAGAGTGGCTGTGTCAGCTGCCCACAGTAGCAGAGATTGTAGCCCATTCATAATGCCCTGATCTGAAGGGTGTTTTGGAGCAATGTTTGTACAGTAACCAGCTGGAGCAGCAAAACCTTCAGAAAAGCTGTGTGATTTAGGTGTTGTGAAGTGGCTGCTCCAGCAGTGAGTCACGAAGGGACTGGACTCCAACTTGTTGCCCAATTCGATCCATTGTCTGAAATGAGACTTTCACAATGGGACTGGAGTTAGCTCTGTAAGTCCCATTTTGGGCAAAGATGCTTTGGGTTGCAAGGTAAAGAGAACTTGATTTTCAGAAGGTATCCTAAAGGATGTACAAATTATAACCTTGTGTTTATTTTGATGACAAGGATGAATCAGAAATTATTACTGTATATTATAGTTAACATTACTTGAGACTAGTGACAATGGCAGAATTCTTGAAACCAGACCAGGAGATCTGGGACAATATGAGCCATCCTCTGAAATAATCAAGAGAGTACATTGGAACTGATGTGAATGAATCAGTCGCAGCTCATTCTTTCTCGGAGCTGCAAAAATTTTGATCAGGATGCATGTGAATATATGATGTCTGGAAGTTGGAATTATGTAATTCACTTGAAAAGAAAAATGAAAAGATTTTTTTTTCCAGAAATGCCCATCACGCCCCCAGGATAGACCTTTAATCCATGAGAGTGTATATCTTATTTGTGATAAATGACACGAGGAATTGTTGGATCAAATTCTATTTATACTGTTCATTTTCTGTCAATATGGATCTAAGTGAGATTGTTTCAATAGCTGCTGGCAGAAAATATGTCATTTTGATCTACACAGTATGCATGGGTGGGTAAATATTCAATAGGCATGTGAAAATACAGAACAGTCTAGGTCTGCAGTAGCTAACAGCCTTTCATAGCATAGGAAACAAATTGTTTTTCCGAAGTGTTTTTCTCAAGTCTGGTCCACACATATAGCAGAATGAAGCAATGGAAGCTTGATATGATAAAGCTGACCATCACAGCAGATGAGAAGAGCATACATGTTGACATTCCTTTACGTATGGATTCCCTTGGAGGGGAAAATCAGCATAGCCCAGCAGCCTAGATCATCTTTCTCCCCACTGCTCTTGGGTTTTGCTTTTTCCCTCTACAATGGCATCTCACCCTTAGAGATACAGGTTATTCTACCCACCTTCTTTTGCTGCTTAATCAGACCTTTGACCTAGCTTGTCATGTACTTTTACAAAGACTCTGTGCCCGTGTGTGTGTGTATGTGTGTGCATGTGTGTGTGTGTGTGTGTGTGAGAGAGAGAGAGTTACATTCTTAGCTCTGCAGGTGACATTCATCTATTTAAAGAAGTCTAGATAGTATCTACTGTGGTCATACAAGGCCAGGATAAGCATATTCCTGTTCCTCTTCTCACTGGCTTCCTCATATTGTTGCTACTCCTGAACATTGTTGAAAAACAGTAACAAGCTGCTCCACCCTCAGCTTCAACAGTATTTGCACCCTTAACTTACATTCAGTTTATGCTTTTGGCTAGGAGAGTATTACATTAGTGTTGCTTGGATGGCATTGGCAACGAAGCAGAGACGATAGAAGGAACAGAGACAGCCAGTGGGTAGTAGAAGTGGAACATAACACACACATGTATGATATGACTGTTGTACAGGGCTGGGTCTGCTGCAACCCACTCAAGTCTGGATCTAAAGAGTGCTCCAGTGGGAGGTCATTAGGGAAAGTGTGCTTCCTAGCATTCCAGTAGGAGAAGAAAGGCAAGATTGACCTCTGGCTATTTTCTAGTTTTATTTGTGGCACACAGACATCTTTATTATTTAATTAAGTCATGCTGGTTTACCTGTAAATAGAAGGTGGCTGTAACCAGTCAACTTTGCCTGATATTAAACATCTAAGCAGCGTCAGACCTCTTAGTGCTTGGAAGGGAGACCATGAGGATATCCCAGAGTTATAAACTAGCCTGGGAAATAGAAGAAAATCCAGGAAGAAGGGAATAGGAAATTACTCCTTATTCCTTGCCTCATGAAACATGGAAGTGACCAGTAGTGATGAGGAATTGATCTCAACTATATTGGTATCCCTGAAAATGATTTGTAATGCATTTTGCCACTACTGCTTTTCTGTGAGTGTAGTCACTATATTTAAATTCATCCACATGCAGTTTGTTAAAATGGGCTATAGAAGTGGCTGAATTTTGCTCTCCAAGGTCAGAGGGAGAGCTCCCGCCTTGGAAGGTAAATCCAGTATCTCGGTCTTCCTCCTCCTCTCCCCGTCACTATCTATGGTTGGAGGTTTCCAGTGTTGGAAAACCCTTATGTTGGACAGGTCTAAAAGCACTGTGTAATGAGTGTTGGGCTGGGAGGGACCATCCAGGAAAATAGAGATGCAAATGTGACTCGGGTTTCCTTCTACCTTGTTCAACTATATCACTGGACATGTTGGACTGCCCCAGTCTTAGTGTAAAATTGCATTTCATGTCATTTCATCAACTGAAAACGTTCACTTGAGAGCAAGACCACATTTTTTTGAATAAATGGCTCTGGTTTCCTAAGATCAATATGGACACAATATCAAGTTTGGATTGCTCTCCAAATAGTTCTCTGAATAGAACTCCTGTATGTCCATTGTACACAAATGCTTTCCCATGCAGTGTGAACTTTTTCCCCCCACCAGAATGCCAGTGCCACTGTTGCTCACTTGGTGGTGCCACTCACTTATTCTGGGTGCTTCTGCGTATGTGGCTGGGTTGCTTGGGCTCACTCCTCCCAACCATGCGGATGCCATTTCTTCAAGCTAAAAACAATTGTTTGGTGCATGCGTGTGCTTTGTGTGCCAGGATTAGAGGATATGAGCCAATGTTTAGCAGTGTTTAGGACCATTGCTATAGGTTTCAACAAAAAGTTTCATCTGGTAGGCTTTGGAAATATTTCAAATAAAAATCCACCATGTTGTGAAATATTCAGTGTTGAAGAGATACTGTAGACATGCTTATATTCAGTCACTGACAGATTACAGTCACCATATAGATTGGTATCATAGCTTAGAAATCTGTGAAATTATCCTGGGTGCACACTTAGTAAATTCATTATTGCTTGTTTGTAACACAATGCCTATAAGTGGCATAACTTGGTCAATTCTCTTGCATTTTTATTTGTCTTAAATGCTGGAAAATGTTACTCTCTCCTAACAGCTGTAAGGTTGCAACCACCAGAGTTCTTGGCATCATCTTTAACTGAAGGAGCTGTTACTCCATTTAGGGAAGACTTCATCTGTTTGCATTGCTTATTGTTGGCAGTGTCATTAAACCAGTTTGCTACCCACTGTGAAGACAAAGTGTGTTTTTACTAATGCTATTTTTTTTTCTCTCCATAGGAGATTGTCAGGCTGGTACAATGTCATAAGAAGTAGTTATCAAATAATTATCAGGGCTGCGCAGAGATCTAGATTTGAAGGACAAAATGGAATTCAGAGCATGTACTGGCATGCACGTAGCACCTCTCCCAAAAACTGAACACAACCACGACTTTTCCCAGGCGCACATGACTGCCCTTAGCAGATTATACTTGATCTTAGGAAAAAAATGTTTGGTTTAAGATATTCCCTGCAGATGCCAAGTGTGCCCCAGATCACATTTTGCCCTGTACTTCCAATTCTTTGCAGTCCTAATAACTGTCAGCCCAGCATATAATTTTGGTAAATAGAAAAATTTACTCAGAAGTTGAACAATGACTTATGAGCCCAAAATGGAGTTCCTTGTGAATAGTTCCAAAATAAAATGCCTAACAGTTGTAGTTGCATTTTCCTTCTTCAAAAGATTTATAGATTTTGAGTTAATGAAAAAGCCTTCACTGATGCAATACTGTAATGGCTTTCATTGCTGTAGCACCTTTTGGCTTAGTATACTGTATGAATCTAATTACAGTTTAATCAGTAACCATGAGTAAGCAAACTAAGCATCGTTTAGTACGAATAGCCTCAGAATACTCTAAATCCAGCCAACTGTGGTTTATTCAATTATCTTTGGTGAAGCCGATCATAATTTAGCATGAAATATGAATACACCAATGTGAACAGATGCCATTTCAACACTTTCAGCAACAGAAATTAGTAACTGCAGCTAAGACTAGATCCCTTAGGTTGCTTTCCAATGATAATGAACTAAAAATTCTCCAGTGTAGAGCTACCTTGCAACACAGTGGCTGGTTTTAAGCATTGCTTTAAGACGTAAAGTAGCTTACAGATCGTAATTAATAATAATACTATGATAATAATACGATAATAAAATTATCGTAACAGATAATTCACATTATGGCTTAGCATGCTGTGAGAACACATCCTTTAGTAGCAAGCAGTTTCATTACTCTTGAAGACAAACATGAATGCTTACAGTGGACGTACATTAAGTCTACACGTTTCTCAGCCTTCCAGATCATGATATTTTCCAAAAAATGTAATGTCTTTCTCTAAATAAGTAACTTGCAAAAAAAGATGGCACTCTTTCATTTTTTTTTAATAAGGCCAATCAGTTTATACAACTCCATCTACTTTCACATATTTATACAGTATAAAATAAAAATCCCTACCTATTGGTACTTAAGGGTTTAAATATATTCTACAAATGCATTGCGACTCTCATTAAAATGCGATAGTCAAAAGGAGCACATGGCATACAAAATAAATATGTAAATATAACCTCTGGATAGTATTTCTAAAAACATCCCTTTTACCAGATTAAATAAAAATGGAAGAATTGACATCAAACTATTACTACGGAGTTTACTAAAAAAAAACTATATATGGGAACTTTTTTATTGCTTTGCCTTCTGAACAAATAAAATACTGGGACAAGAATTTTGAAAAGCTAATATAGCAAAGATGGCCTAAATTATTCCTCCCCTCTGCAAGTGATTTTGAACTTAATGTAAAGAAAGAGAGGAACTTTTGAGGAGGACACACTTGGCTAAATGAATCCAAAACTTAACTTTCCCAAAGGATACAACCAATATCCAAAATCAGATCCAATGCAGGAATAAATCAACCTCAAAAAGTAACTGAGGAAAAGCACCAGGCAATACCATCTGAATCCACAAACACCTTGAGGAAAATAACTGTTTGCATGCTAAGATTACTTCTGTGAAAATTCTCTCCCTTGAGACAAAACAATTGTGCCTCCCCCTCCTCCAACTTACATTCTCTTGTCATAAAGGGTGCAGGGCCCAACACACACACACACATACCCATTTGCACCAAGTTCTGAAAGGGACGGTACATAAAAAACATGCCTCAAAAGGTTGATACTCCATGTCACGTGAGCAGATGTCCACTCTTGGAATGGGATTCCCCCTACTTTGTCGTCTTCTGCATCTTCTTATCTTTCCTAAAAATGCTGCAGTGGGTTCCCCACAACTTTCCAAAGAAAATTTGGGAGTGCACAGGGAGCGAAAGGAACCCCAACTCTTTCACTTACCTTAGTTCCTCAATGTAGAAAAACACCAAGAGTACAGTAATATGCATGGTTTTGAAAGAAGCATTTAACATACTGATAATGTTTTTAAAAAGTTCTGAATACAAAAATTAAAATTGCAGAGTTATATTGGCAAATTCAGGACATAGGTGGAATCTCAGATTCACATAAGCTTTGGCACTTCTGTATTTCCTGATTTTAAAAGTAAAAAGGCACACTACTGATGCTTTTTGAGTTTTAAAAAAGTTCTCATCTCCACAATCTGTATGATGTAGGAGGCATATTTTCATACTTTGGGGCAACTGCTTTACCTTGGTTACACTGCATGGTCTTTGGAGCTATGGGCACTGAAACATAATTGAGTAAACCTGTTTGTAAAAATCTACATGTTTTCAAACAGTTCTTCCTATCCAAACATCTGCTTTGCATTACTTACAATGTCAGCCCTGATTATAACTTAACTTGCCACAAGAGATGAAATGTTTCATACAAACATAAGCAAATCTAAACAGGGAAATTATATCCAGAATATTTCAGGCCACTGCCAGAAACCTGAAGATTTTATCTTTCTTAATTCAAAATGTTAATATAATAGGGCAAAGCAAGGCAATTTACAATAAATTATCTACAGCAAGATGTACCATCTTTGAGAAAACCATTTTTAATATTTTGGAGCAATCTGTTCTAAGAGCATACTGCCAATGAAATTAATCAAATTACAAAACAATCTTCTCCACAGGCAAATACCAGTAAATAGATTTCAGCGGCAGCTGGGAAAGAACCTCTAGGTCTCTAGGGGAACCAAGAACCGTGTGGGAGGGCAGTACCTTCTAAAGACGGTTTCTGGGCAAAGAATGTACGATAGTGAGAAGACACCTACGTGGATGTGATTAAGATGAAGAATTTATAAAACAGAGGTGGGAACCTATAGCTCTTTAGATGTTGCTAGATAACAATTCTCAGATAGCCTCATTAGTACCCATGCTGGATTGGCACTATGATTTGTAGTTTAGCAGCATCTCTGGAAAACCATCAGTTTTCTCACCTCTGTAGTACAGATATTTAAGATCACTATCATATGGGCGGACCAGTAGGGACTGAAGAAGGAAGAAATAGCTAGAAGGTTTACCTAGGAGGGAATTCAGCCCTAGAACAAAGCTTGTGAAATTATATTTAAAAAATCTGTTTCAAGCTTCTTTCAAGAAGTAGTCTGTTATATTGATTACAGGAACTTAAGGGTGCTCCACTCCTTTTACAAAGCTGAGTCAACATCCAAATTGTGGGGGCAGAGGAGGGGAGAGGGGATTTTCCCTTTCTCTCTTTCTGCTGTGATTCTGGAGGATGTCCAAAGTATCAGCTGCAGATTTTTGATAAGTGCAAAAGAGCTACATAAGGGAAGGGGAACCCAGGATTTCATTGCAACAGCCAAGGGACATAGTTGGATTCAAATAATAATTTTTCCACATTTCATCAGAAGAACAATTAGAAGAACATGTAAGATATTTCCTACTATCTGTTTAAGATGAGATATCTTAAAAAAAAAACATTAAAATTGCATAAAGTATTGGGCCCAGAGAAAGATTGTACTACAGTATTTCACATTCTTTTGCGTACAATATAAAAACAATGTTAAATAAGAGATAAAAAAGGAAGCTAACAGAATATTATGCCAAGAAGAAAAAAGAGAAATCTGGATTCAAACAGTACTGAACCTTTACTTTCTTTTATACTGACTGTGTGATCTGGACCCTACTTTACGTTATGCAGACAAAACATGAAAGAGAGTGTTTTTTTCTTTGACAAATGGGCTAAGTACTGAATTCATCCACTTGGATTCAACTAGTTTCGGTAGAATACAGAACTCTAACAGCACCCTTTTACAGGTCACTGTACTACAAGAGTTTACACAGTATAAAGTAATTTTTCCCTTGCTGAATTTCTCCACTCAGCTGATGGTGCTATTACATGTTCACCAAGCTGTGAAGAGGTGGTTGAAGCGAGTCTGTCTGGGTGTGCAACACTGTGAGATCATGCAAAGCTGTGGCTACGGGGACTTCTTGGGACCCCACTGCAGGTCTCAATTTACAGTCTGTTACAGAGGGAGATCCATTTTCATGCACAGCAGTCATGCTTTCTTGAATAGCCGTCAAACTTGGATAATGCCCATTTTCAGAGAATGACAGCAGCTTCTCTGATAACTTGGGACGAGCTCCATCGTATTCTTCATCAGGAAGTTCAGTCTTATGATCCTCATCATTCTTAGAAGCACCTTCAACAACTACAAGAAAAGACTTCCAGGGTGTGTTCTTATCATGAATCTATTAAAAAAAAATTACACATACTAAACACTCAGTATTCATTAGGTTCTACAGCACCTTCTCTAGTCTGAAACTGTAACAAACCATTCACAGAAGCTTTAAACTCTGATAGTGTGTGGAGAAGATTCTTAGTTAAGTAGTAGCCAACCTAGCTATTCTTCTTTCATTCCCCAATACAGCAGAATTAAAAATTTAGGAGCATTTTATGAGGCTTATATTCAACTAACAAAGTCTACGCTAAAGAGAGTTTAGAATTCAGAGAAGAACAATGGCTGGAGCAATTAAAATGTAGAAAGAGCAAGAAGAGGGGCACATTTTTCCCAAGTGAAGAGAAGGTGTGAAGCATTACAAGCAAACTAAAAAAAAATCTCAAGCATTAAACAAACTTGCATGTGCATTTATTCATGTGTAAATTATTTGCTCCTTCAAGGAACAGTTTGGGGGCTTTCTGATGGCAAAGATCAGGCTCTATAGCTGAAGCCCTTTACTCTATATATCACATTCCTAAATTGCATTGGGATGAGTTTTTGCAGATTTCCCCTTTCAAAATGAAAGCCTACATTGTTGCTGTACTCATGAAAAGCCTGTTTTGGTAGATGTCACCAATCAGGAACACAACAATCCAACAATAGGGAGGGTCTTTCATTCAGAGAAATGGAAATACCCTCTGCTAAGATGTGAAAGGTTCCCTTTTTTCCCATCTGCATAAACTGCCTGCCCATGGAAAGCCCTTATTCTAGTCCCATTATCCAAGAGGCAACCATACTATACTGTGGGATTCATACAAGGTATCCATCCCTGTCCTTTACTGCAACAGTAACATGTAATTGGAAGTAGACAACGAGAGATTTTCACAGAAGTGCCAGTTCTCCCTTACTGAGGTATGACGCCGAAGAGTAGATTTGTCAGTGAATGTCCGACCACAAGCATTGCACATGAATGGTTTCTCCCCTGTGTGGATCCGATGATGGCGTTGCAGGGCATTGAGCTGAGTGAATTGTTTGCCACACTGATCACAGCAGTATGGACGCTCACCTGTAAGATAAGGCACATTATTACTATTTCCAATGCTCAACTTTTCCAGATCTGTAACTCTAGATAGCACAGAAAAAAATTACAGTGTCCATCTGTAGGGCAACATCAAATGGCTTTCAATCATCTCAGAATACATCAGAATCCCCAGCTATAGAAATAATGTGAAGTTGAAAGCCTTAGCTACATTGCCACCTTGCTACTGTTAACTGTGCTACTCCGCATACTTACCCCCAATTAAAAGCAAAAAATAAAAATAAAAATACAACCAATTGGAGATTATAGAAAAAGATTAAGCATAACGTCTTGAAGATTAATCAGGAGATTCTTTTCAAAAGATGCAAAGAACATCAGCTGGTAATGCAGTTGCAGTGCAACGAAATAGATTCCTACATACTTTAATGAGGAAAGTGCCTAAAAGTCTGAAGAACAGAAATTCAGGAAATAATATATGAGAGCTAAGCAGGAGTTGGAGAATTTGCAGGTAAGCAAATAACAACAGTAACAAATTGTTAAGCTAAAAAAAAAAAGTAGCAGTAACCAGTGAAGATCATAAGCAGAGAAACAGGTTCATATGCACGTATAAAAAAACTGAAAAAGTAAACAAAAGCAGACAAATTTTAAGTTAGGAACAGGAAGTTCAGTCAAAAGCAATAAAGTAAAAACAGCGCAAGGGGAGAGTTACTATTTTCTGAAGAGGTCAAAGTATGTATAAACACTAGATTCAAAGACAACAGGAAGAAATAGTATTTACGGTGGTGCTTAAAAATTTGTGAAGCCTTTTGAATTTTCAATATTTCTGCATAAATATGACCTAAAACATGATCTGTTCTCCACACAAGTCCCAAAACTAGATAATTGTTTCAAATGAGTCAAAAATGTGAGATCTGGGATCTCAAGCTATTGAAGATAGTGTGTGTCTCTAGATTAATTTGTCAGATTCAAACAAATATTAGATCTGAAACAATCATTTCTAACAACCAGTTTGCACTTGGCTACAGTTCATTTTAAGCAAGAGACCATAGCAGCCTGATTTACAAAGCCACAAATGATGGTTTACAAATCACAGTGACTGGTTGGGCAAAAACCCAAAAAACCATGGTATAATTCAGTAGGGTTGTGAATTCAGCCTAAAACACAGATGTTCTTAAAGGCTGGTGACCTGGCAGACAGCCCCATGGAAACCTGGAAGTTGTAAAAGATGCTACCATGATCAGATAAAACTGCCATCAGAATAAGGGCTACGACTGGCATCATCTAGCAAGAAAACTTTAGAGAATGCTCTCTCTTAAATTTTCCAAAAAAGTTTTAAAGTCAAACATTTTCCTAAGCTTCTTCTGTAGCTTCCTACCTGTATGAACTTTGATGTGCTGATATAATGAATTCCTCTGCGCAAATGTCCTGAAGCAAACTTCACATTTAAAGGGTTTAGATCCAGTGTGGATTCGATTATGGTGTTTCAAATACTCCTTGGAGGCAAAGCTCTTCCCACATGTTTCACACATGAAAGGTCGTTCTCCTAGAGTACACAGGAATTAGAAAAGCAAAAAGACTATTTTTAAAGACACCAAGATCAACTGACACACGTGAACGTGGATTTTGTGCACAAGGCCATCCACTCTACTATGTCTGCACAATAAACTCTTCCCATGACCATCATTATGCACAAGTTCTTTGGGGCCTGACAAACAGCTGTATGTCACAGAGTACATCAATCCATATAGCATCCTCAAGACAGTTTAGCCTCTACAGTGTCAGGCTACATCAGTTCCCCCTAGCTGGTGACCTACAGGTATTGGACAAAAGGTCCCAGCCAGTACGGCCAACTTAAAAAATGATTATAGAAAACCAAGTTCTCCCTGAATATTTTATACTGACATCTACAAAGTTAACACGGCAAAAGAAATTTCAAATACATCCCACAATTAATGATGGATGAATGAAAACGTTTCATAGTCAACATTTTAAAAAGACTGAAAACAAAGACTGTTACTTTGCATTACAGTTCCTACATCAGAGTCATATATAATTAGATTCATTAGATTTTTATAGCTGTTACAAAAAGCCTGTTATTATCTCATTGCTGTAGGACTTAAGATCAACATGAGATTGAGATAAAACCACAGCAACATTGGCATATAGCCAGCTTGGAATCAACTTACCAGCTAGCTAAGGGGGATGGAGATACAGCTTGTACATATGCTTGATTATGGGGTTATTAAGAATTAAACAGCAAGGTCACCAATACATATCCCTGCTTAACACAATAATATATTGTGGCATTTCCAACAGCACCTATTTTTCTGTACATAGTTTTTAATGTACTGAAGAAAGGAACTTATCTTGCTCTGGATGACTGCAGATGTTTACCAGAATCTAATTTATGCTACTGCAGTAGACAATAAGGTTGTTTTCACAACATACAATGAACTACAAACAAGCCAACTATGGTTTAGGCTAGCATGTTGTCCATGTGATTTTTATGGTTCAGGTATCAAAAATCTAACCAACTGAGTTAACTGAGTGAACTAGGATTCAATTAACTATGGGAAAATATGTCATGCGAACACAACATATCCCAAGTTACTAGCTAGTCTACAGAATAATTATCTCATGGTTTGGTTGATACCGCTAATAGTAAAGTCTCTAAATAACAAATCATAAGATTTAACAAGATGTAATAACAACCTACTCTTATCATTTGATCTGCTTTTTAAAAATAGAAAACTGAATTTCTCTTGATTCCAACAATAGCCTTGAGCCACAGAGTTCTGGAAAACAGAATGGGCAAACAGAATGGGCTACCCATATTAAGGTATACAGTAATTTTTCTAAACTGATGAGGACCAGATAAATATTTTTATATTGACAAAGAATAAGATTTGATAGCCATCAATCTGCAAGCACATTAACCTTTATTTTACTTCCCCCCATCATCTCCTACATACAATAATAACATACATCAGAACAGATTATATATCATTATTATGTTATACAGATTATGATTATACATCAGAGACTGAATGAAAAAAACCTGGAGTGTAAAAATGCGGTATTATCCTAGTACCTGTATGGCATCTTTTATGATATATAAGCATGTGATTTTGTGTAAATCTTGCTCCACAATCATTACAAACAAATGGTTTTTCACCTGTGTGGATTCTGAAATAAGAAAAAAATAATACAAATCAGGACAAGTATAACAGTTGCTCCTCAGCATCACTGAGAAGTAACCAGTAATCAGCAATCAATGACATTAACTGGATGACTCTTAAGATTTTGAGTTCAGAGGGGGGATCCCTCCCTTAGCCTGGGAAATGTAATACCTAACAGATACTTGTCCATGAAGTGCCCAACCCAATGGGTAGTATGTACATAGAAGTCTTCTATGTATACACTTTCCCAGTTGAATGGCAGGATGAGATGAACTCTCATATTAAAAATACATTTTTAACAAAATTCAGAGAATAAAAGTCTAGGCACACTGCCCCCAAAAGAGAGAAATTAGAAATAAATGTCAAAACTGACAAGAGAATGGTCTAATTAAAGGTTATTTTCTTAAAACAAAAAGCAACAGTGATCTAAATTAACCTGCAATAAAAAAGAACAAACACACTTAGAATTTGACTTGTGAAATGAATCACAACTAAAATGCCTTAACTTTCAGATTAATAATATACAGTAGTCTTATATTATTGTATTTAATATAGTAAATATTGCAAATATTTCAGTTTTCAAAAGCTGTGAAAAATTATTCACTTGTAGAAGCTATATGGCAAAAAAATACTAGTACATAATTAATTATAATTAATCATACTGGGCTATGATTAATCATCAATTGGGTTCTTACCTACATGCCTCATTTCTTCTGCTGAGATCAAGGACTGTTCAGTAATATTTAATATGCCTGGCTCAGCAATATATTGGTTGGGGGATTATGGAAGTTATAGCTCAACATTACAGGCAGCCACCAGGTTGGGTGAACCCATGTTGCTCTTTAGGTTACGAAAGTAGATCTGCCTTGTTCTAACCTTCTATATATTCCTGAATCTGAAAGGCAGTGGCATACGTCTTTGCTGTAGTGCTTAGCTGCTGCATCTCAGCTAGGAAGCCACGGAGAAAGCCATTCAGATATCATCCTAAATTGTTGCTTAGCACAATGTAAGCATACACAGCTTTCTCCTAAAGCATGCCTACTCCCCTCTCCAACTCCCTCTGCACAATCTTAACTTTTACATGAGGCAAGCACAGCTGCCTATTTCATCCAAACTTAGAATTTGTATATGATTATCTTCAACAAGTCAAATTTATAACCAATGGTTTGAAGTTGGGTTGTTTTGAAATTAGACTTCACTGGTGTTAAACCATAATCCCCAGTTTAGACAAAACAAAAATCAGGATCAATCAAAACTAAAAAACTTCTGAAATTCTCCTCCCAGCAGTGCAGAGAGACAGCAAGGGACTATAACTACCCAAAAAGGGTATGTTCATTTATGACACACTAAACCATGGCTTACAGTCTAACACCCAAATATGATAATAGTTTTGCATATCCCTTGCATGTATTATGTTACTCGCTTGGCTATAATAACAGGAAAGGACTATATAGCCAAGCACAGGCAGAAGTAACTCTTTCTTAAAGACAATCCAATTTCAAGTTCTTGTCTTACCAAGGAAATGCCTGCTACCTTT